GATAAAAATTGTTGGAGTCTGCACAGGAGAGCAAGTTCATAAGGCTTGGGTAGAAAAAGTAGTGTGATGTCATTGATGTCATGCACTGGGTCTCTTTTTTTGCTTGTAATTTTCATTACGTTTAATTTGTATTATTAATTTTGACATCAACAACTCAAAGAATAGTTGTCCTGCGAGACTAAATACTTGCTCCAGCTCCAAAAATTTTCTTTTGGTAAAACTACTGCTGCGTATTCATTTGGAGTAGACTTTTTTTTTTCTTAAAAGAAGTGACTTGCTGTAGTGCATTTCTCTACATTGTCTGTGATTGTTTTCGGTTGCAGATAGTACATTTTCCACAGAATAACATATTTGATCATACTTGCAGAAAACATTTGAGGTGTTTTCCTTGAAATTAATAGCTAATAAAAATGACAAAAGAAAAATCCCATGACATTAGAGTTTGTTACGTAGCCTTCACGAAGGAAAGACACATTCTGGCTTTGCTTGAATTCCTGTGAAATTAAAGCTCTTTCATTGGACATAGCAATTACTCTAATTATAGCACTGGGGATTTGGATAGAAGCTGGTCTGCAGGGCTCTGCCTCACGCCCAGCATTATCTATGTGCACTAACTTCAGCTGAGGATACTCTCGGCCAGAGAGAAACTCTGCATCTCTAAAGTGACCTTTGTTGTGATAGATGCTTGTCCTCTGGGAGAAAGGAATTGAGTGGAGGAAGGAGGGAAGGCAAGGAAGGCTGGGAAATGGTATTCCCTGTCTAGCCTAGATGTAGGGAGGAGGATTGTGCCTGGCGCTGAGCCATCCCTGCAGTTTTCCATGCTTGGCAGCCAGGTCAGCATCCCTTGCTTCTCTTCCATCTCGCCTTGCTGCATGCTGGCAAGGTGGCAAGGGGAGCTGCAGCTACAGGAATGAAAGAGCAGCTATGCAAAATGACAGTGGTGCCACTGGTATTTCGTTCAACTGCCCACTATTTTGCCGTGGTAGACATCTCATTCCTGTTCATTTTGACAGGGACAGGAGGAAAATGAACTCTTGATTTTCTGACTGGTGCCTACCTCGAATGGGCACTGTCCATGTCTGTCACTCATTGCTACCTTGCTCAGGCATGAAAATACAAAGTGAGAGTGTTAGTACTGGTAAACCAGGAATCCAAACAGTCCAAACAAAGTCATGAGAAATGTTTACGACCAGTTTTCAAAATGAAGTTTTAAATTGACTTTTTCTTTTTTTTTTTTCTTTTTAATTGTAGAAAAGGGAAAGACAGGTCTAAAAGCTACGCTTTTTCCCTGATTTAACACCTAAAATGGGGATGTCTTTTTAATTATTATTTTTCCTAGTAATAAGGTATGCACATTCACTATGAGTGCACACATTTCCTGTCTATGAGTGACAGCAGCTCCACTTGTCTCCAAAGACAGAATCCTCATTTCTCATACGGAGCAGATGTGACTGTGAGAGCTGCGCATCTGTGTTGTCACCTCGTGAATTGCCACGTTGCCCCACCACACTGAGCCCCTCCTTGTGATGCAGGGAGGGGAAGAGAGAGTGCTTGTCCCTCCAGCAAATTCAGGGAGGGTAAAGCCAGCAGTAGGAAATGAGGCTGGCAGTCTGGTGTGATGGGCTGAGCTTGAAATCTCTGGGATGTAAAGTGCTGGTTATAAGGAATCCAGAAAATGGGACGTTTGGAGGGTGAATTGCTATTGTTACTGCTGTTGGCTTTCTGAAGTAGCAGCAGGTGTGTTGGTGAGGGTTCTGCCCTCTTCCCCATCGTCTGGTGTCATTTTTGTCCGTCTGGACAGTAGTTTTGAGCTACGGACATGCCCAGGCCCTGGTGGCACGGGCGCCAGGCTGCCAGGTTGTTGTGACAGCACAATTATGAGTGCGTGCAACTGAGGCAAGTGGCATCGATTCTGCAGTTTCTGCCACTGGATGTCGGGAACAGAACATTGCATGAAAACCGTAGTGTGATTGAAATTGCCAGGAACATTTAAATTACAGAATCACTGTGCTCCCAGGCTGTAAAATTAAATGTTACTGCTCACTGGAGTAATTGAGTTGAAATGGCTTGCAAGAAGGAACTCAAGTAATTGTCGTTTGGAGGAAGTATTGTCTGCGTTCAAGTTTCCATATTCCCTTTCTAGACTGGGAAGCCAGCACAGTGCTTCTGGGACATCCATCAGGAGTGACGCATCAGCCAGCGTAGAGTGCCCAGCCCAGCCTCACCTAAGACATGCCACAGTTGGTGGGAGGGGGATGCAAGGATGAACAATTTCATGCGCAGAAGCCCAGTGTGTACAAGTAGTTCAGCATTTTGCAGCATCGGTGCAGATCAATAGGGATGCAAATACAGAGGTAACTCAGGCAACCTGAGTGTTCCTGTAAGCCAGCCACCCATGGTTCAGGCGTGTTGGAGAGTGGAGCCAAGAAAGGATGCTGCAGTTAGCTGCAACGGTATTGTTAACGCATCATTCCCTGAGCACCAGAACTAACAAAGCTTAGTTTCCAGCAGATTTCTGTTGGAAACTTGGTTGATGGGGGAGTTTCAGAAGCTCACAAGATCTGAGTGAAACGTTTTCATGATGAAGGTATTTATAAGGCACCTCACCTACATAGATACTCTGCTGTCTAACAAAATCTGAACACATACTACTTTTTTTCTTACAACTGGGGGAACATGCTTGGTCTCTTATGTCCCTTTACAGCAGCAGACATGTAGAACTTCAGTTTATCTTTTAAAGCCTTAGCTTTCTGTTGGGTTTGGCAGTAAGCTGCCATTATGTTAAATTATGAACACAGACAAACAGCATGTTTGCCTTATTTCCCTAGGAACTTAGATAAAGCAGCCACTGTTTGCTGATAGGAAAAGGGAATGAAGTTTACTTTTGTTTTCCTAGTCATCTTCCAAACGCGGCAGGGTAAAAGAAGACAACTGAAAGTGAATGAGCGCGTGTGTGTGTGTGCACACGCACGCAGAGTGGAGCACATGTTGTTGAGGGAGGCCATTCCCATGGTACTATTCCCCTGTTCTCTCTGGCATTCATATAGAAGAAAACACTCACTCTGAGCGCAGATTGTCTTCCACTAGGCAAAAAATCTGGGAAATTAGTAGTTGTAGTTCCTAAGAGCTTAGCCGAACAGGAGCAATGGCTCCATCCAATTGAGAAAGGAAGCAATAATTAGGTGAAAAAAGAACAACGCAGGGCATAGTTAATTGCTCAGCTAATCATGCTGCAGTGCAATGAATGAACAGAGGGAGCCTCGGACAGGCATAAGACTGAAAGCAAGTGAAAGAAGCATTGCAGTCACCTTGTGGAAGATACCACACTTCCACTTACATTGTATTAGCTAAGCAGGGAGGTTTGGAGAGCGATATTTTTCTTCCTATTTCATATCTGCCCAAAGTGCTTATCTGTCTTTATCTCTGTGTATTGATTCCTCTGTGCTCTGAGTCCTAAGTAACAGTGAATCTGCCGTTCTACCTTGCGTTGAAGCATTGTGTTTGGAACTGTCTAAAATCAGGTTTGAAAATGAGGCATGTTAATTTAAACAGTTTCCTCCCATCAGTGACACCAATGAGAATGAAATGTTCTTGCTAGCCAAAGGAGAGTAAAGTGAGCGTATTTTACCTCAAAATTGTTTGCAGAGATTTGTTCTGGTATCTTATATTCCTCTTGACTTGATGGCTCTGCTGTCTCAGTTAAGCAGCAGTCACTGATGGAGAAGAAAAACTTCAGGGTTTTTTTAGTAAAGAAAAGTGCCTTTAAAGAGTATGGGTTATGCTCAAGTGCTTGCTGCTTTATGCTGCTCCAGTGATGTAAAGCAGCTGCTAATTCACTGTAACCATTTGAGTGAACTGGATTTACAACGCTTTGCATTGCTGTGATGATGCAAGGCAGCTGGAAAAGACCAGTGAATCTGTTCCTTTAAATGAAATAAAATACTTTGATAATTAAAAGTACAATGCTAGTTTTATCTCTGTTTGACATTTGTTTTTTTCTTCAACTCCCTGTTTATAAAGACCAGATTGTGCCCATGATTGCCATAATCTGAAATTAAAGGGAATGTTTATGGAAAAGAGTACTCCTCGTAATAAGGGCAGCAGAATTCAGGCGAGAGAGACATGTGAGGAACAGCAGTCTTAAAGTGACAAACCTGTTTCAATTAGAATGAAAATCTGTTTAACCCTTTGTCACAGGCAAGCACACCCCTGTTAAACAGGTGTTCTGTTTATGCTGTCTCTTGGCCAGCAGTTGATCTCATTTGCTATCGTTACAATCCTTTTTTTTTCACCAAATACAGGCAACTCTACCAGTAGGCAGCATTGTAATTAAAAGCCTAATCCTGCTGTATTTACTTGGATCACATTGCATCTTGTGCGCGGGTACAGAGCATTGCAATTGCTTTCCTCTGGAGCCTTCGTGTAGGATCCATCCCCATAGGACAGCAGGGCCTGTCTGGGTTTAACCGTGGCTTTCCAAGTCAGCATATGTATCTGTCATACCAAAACAACTGTCGCACCTTTCAGTGAAAGTTCATCTCTTTTTTTATTTTTTTTCTCTTTTAACTGTACGTTCTTCTTAGTGAGACAAATGTGCTGCATTTTGGGAGGTTTTGCAGTTGAAGAAGAGGTAAATAAATTTCTCCCCCTTTTACTTCTGCAGCCTGTTTAGTTACTGTAAAAAAACAGCAAACCAGTTAAGGCTGGCCAGCATAGTATTTCATATGATTATGAATGAGTGAATGTTTTTCCTTTTTTAAAAAAATACAATAATCCTGTTTGTGAGTAAGGAACGGTGATGGTGGAATGCCCGGTGAAGACGTACCAGGAAACACAGGCCGAAACGAGCTGCCGTTTGATAGAAAAGCCTAAAAAAGAAGCCCAAAAGGGAAGCAGTCGTGTCGTGTAGCCGCACAAAGGGATTTGTGTCGTGTTGTTTTGTTTTCCTGCTGGCACGTTTTTGCCCATCAGTTTATGTGAAAGGCGAGCTGGAATGCGCCATGGTGAGCTGCCCTCTGCGCGGGCCGCACAGCGCAGGAGGACCGAGCAGCGGGTCTGGCGCACGGTGATTGATCCCTCTATTTAGGAGGCATAATGCCTTCTGAAGCAAAGAGCAGATCAAAGACTTTAATGATTGACAGCGATTTATGCCACTTTTGTTTTTAATTCCTTGACTCCTGACACTTTAAGACGGGACTTTATAAAAGAAAGATGCCGTATCCTAGGGTTACGCCTCCTTTCATAACAGGGAAAGCTGAAGGAGCTGTGGAGACTGATATCCAGATTTCAGATATATTAGTTTTTATTTAAATCTGAGGTTCAGAGGTTTGTGGGCATGCTGTTTCTGTTATTAAATCATTATGCACCTACCTGGGGGGAAAAAAAGCCAACAATCTTACCAGGAGTGCCTCTATAAACATTTCTTACTCTCTATAGTGTAAGGCTGGTATATTAAAAATTCTTCGAATAGCTGACCTTGACAGGTGTTTTATTTGAGCAAACAAAACAATAAATAGTAATATAATCCCTGTGGAGCTGGCATTAGGCTTTGTGGGAAATGCATAATTTCCTTTACTAAATGTAGGAAGCTGCACAAATTTAATTTCTTCATTTTTGTCATTAATACCAAACCATCCTGGAGCTCTTCGCTCCTCGAGGCTGAGGTCTGAAGCCTGTTGCACACAGTTACACGGAGTGTTTTTCTGTGGTTTGTGTTGCATTTTTGTCTTCTTCAGCAGTGCACACACTCTCGGGGATGTGTGCCAGATAGGGCACGGCGTGTAGGAGAGCAACCTGGCAGCCCTTTTGCCCCGGGAGCGGGTGTTACGCCATGGTGCTCGCAGGAAAATGACGAGCAATCTCTTTTCTGAGTGGTGCTGGATATGCTGCAGCGCTGCGCTCGTGGCCGACTCCACTGTCAGTCCCTGCAGTACAGTATAAAGCAATTATTGATTGTACTTTTGGCTTCTTGCTTCTGGAAGGCCTCCTAATTTAAGGGCTGGTTTGTTTGTTTGTTAGTTTTAATCTAGACCATATGTAGGTTGCAGTTTTAGTGGCTGTATTTGACATGTTCTGGAAGGATGATGTCAACTTGAAAGGCACGCTTTGCTGAAAACATTTTGCCATTCCTCTATGCGGCAGAAGTCGAGGTGTTGTCCTGGGGTCTCCAAAAAGGGGAACAGTGGATTTCCTAAATCATTGCCGCTGCCATGCTGAGCGAGACAGCGGCCAGGCAGGACCCAGTGTCATGATGTACGGATGACCTTGGACGTTCCTAACCCAGCCTTCAATTTTAATGGCAATCAAGGAGCAGTCCTGAAGAAACTTTTGGTCTGAAATGTAAGTTAATTTAGGCTATTGTGTATGTGCTATAAAAGCAGTGATGACTCTCATCTTTTCATTTTCCCTTATATATGAGTAAATTCCACTGTTATATTGGTAAAAGCTGCTGTTGCTCTTACATTGCCATGACAAAGCTGATACCAAAGGGATGCCATCTCCAGGTTAGGTGGACTGGCAGCCTCACGCAGGATGGCAAAGGCTGCCTTTTTATGCTTACTATAAAGCCTGAGGTCCTACCCGTTAAGAGATGATGGCTGAACTGTGGAAGCCATTAGGAAGCCCATCACTATATTTTATTGTTCTCATAAAGTTCATGAATTAAGATCCGCGTTTTAAGCATCATTTACTGTTAACTCCTCTATTAACTATTTATGTCTCTTCAGAAGGAAAGTGGTCTTGTAGCACTCTTCTCAGGAGGTTTGAACTATGCTTAAATTCTAACTAGTGAATTCTTTTCAGCTTGCAGGGAGCAGAAATCTTTCCTAGATTTGAACATGTTTTTCTAGTTCGGTCCTCTTTGTGTTGACAAACTAAAGAGTTTGGTTAAAACCATGCAAACATGGGAGTCCAGTAGCTCTAGTATACCTAGAAGTTTGACTGTTAAAAAATGAAAAAAAAAACCCAAACAAACCACCAAACCAAAAAAGGTTCTTTATAATAGAATGGGCACTAGCATAAAAGAAAACCCAAACCCAAAACCCAAACCCAAAAGCAGAGGGCTGCATTTTCAAAAGTAATTCAAAACAACACTCAGTATATACTTTCCCAACGTTGGTTAAGAATGTTCCTTACTTTTAGGTATTCTTTAGGAGTTTATGAGATTAGTGATGTGCACTGTTTTATTGTTTCTATAGCCTTTCATCATGAGATTTACAAACAAATATTGTGCTTTAGCTTGTGCATAACCCATCCCATTCAGCATAATCTGGTGTTGAACCTGCTTGGCCAAGTTAATATTTACTCTTTGTTTGTTTTTTATTGTCAGTTCAAACCTGGATAATTGACAAACTGCTTGAATGCAGTTGGACCAAAGCATAGCAACTTTGTATCACAAATGTAAGAAGCCTTTCATTTCCAGATTTACTTATGTGTACAGTGTTTAGGGCAAAAGATTAGGAAAGGTATTCCTTTACAGCTTAATTTTGGTCCTGCCAGTGGCAGAGGTTTTAAAATAGGTAGTGTAAATTAGATTAGCAAAACGGTCTGCTGATTAAGACATCATTTTGAAACAACTGAAACGGAAATCCATTTATACATTCACATTTTCTTTTTTTTTCCCTGGGTTCTTATGTTGTTTGGTTGTTTATTTTTCTGCTTACTGTCTGTTTTAGAAACACAGGTTCTGGTGTTGCATATACTTTTCAGGCTGCATCTGCACATCAGGGGCTGCTCGTGAAAACGAGCTGTTCATCTGCCCCACCCTGAGCTTTCCGCTTGTCCCTTTAACGTCATTAGGCAAGGAAAGGCCAGATGCTCAAAACCGCAGGGAATTGCAGAGGATAGTATTGAGACCTGTATGAGGATGAGGTCTGAAGGGATGGTACCGCTTTCAGCTGCTGCAAGGAGCTTCTAGGATCAAGCTGGAACTTAGGAGTGAAAGCAAGCATAAACCAAACTCTTACCCAAAAGTTCTTGACTTTAGATACCAAAGTTAAGTTTAGTTCAGTTGTTTAGAACTACTTCTTCCTCTCATTTCCATTTCTAAAAGGTTAAGCATAGACAGTGCAAAGAAAAAGCTTTTAAAATCGAGACACGATCCTCAGGCTGGGGTCTGCAATCCACGCAGTCCTCTTTGCCTGTTCACATGAACTTTAGCACCAGGTGCAGGTGCTAAAGCAGAGTAGTTTTGTATTAGGTTAATTGAGGTCCCTTATGACAATAGCTTAAGCTAAAACATCTCTTAAATGTCTCTCACATATACTGGAGGTAAACTATATGTGATGAGGTACTCCTGACTCTCCTCCTTTCTGCCACTGTGCCCCAGTGCAAACAGGCAAGGTGAAAGGGCTGTCATCTCCAGCATGGCCCGAGGGGCTTTGTCTCCTACACTACTATTCAGTTTAGCCAAATACTCCAAATACTGCACAAAAATATTAATATTTATGGTTTTAGCCTTAAACTTTAGTAAATGCTTTTCTTTCCACAGTGTGCAGTCTGAACAACGCCTGGAAAATATTCAGGTTTTCTTTTTTTTTTTCTGGAAAGCAGAGCCCACATTAATGGCCAAAACATAATTAATAAATAAAGTGAATAATTCAAACTGTTCTTAAAAGTCATGAAATAGAAATGTTTTCTGCTCAAAGGCACTGTGTTTAAAATCAGGGAAGTCTTTTTCCCTTTACTTGAAGAGTCAGACTGGGATATACAAAGCCAGGTGCATAGTGCACATCTGAACCTCCATGGTGTAGGCGTGCAGACATTTGAGCGCATACTTCTGCCTTTTGTGTGCTTTTCAATCATTAGCGAGTAGCTTTAAGTGCAACCATGTGCCTTCAGCTCCAAATGCTCAGTATTATTCAACTGCAGTGCATTGCACTTTTATTGCAATGATTTGGGGTGCAAAATATAAAGTTTTAATTTGGATTTTTAAAAGAATCCGAAGAAAATCTCTGCAAGCCAGATCTTCTCTCTGGAAGGATACTTATTGTGTAAAAATACTGACCCATTCTCTAGAATAAATTAGATTACCATACCTGTCAAGGTGTACTTGATCACACTGCAGAGGGAGGGATGCTTAGTTGTACTGCTTGCACATAAGCATGGTTGTGTTATTTTCCAAGAGAACAAAAGCTTAACCTAAAAAAATTAAGATTGTTTTTAAGATTGTGATAGAAGATTACCATTCTATTTTAAAGTCTTTGAAAAATACAAGATTTTATTTCTAAATTATAGGACAAGGAAAGCCTCGAGTTGTCTGTAAAAGACATCTTTTGCAGCATGACTTCAAGGTGGAAGATGTTGAGCTCTGTTGGGCTCAGCAAGGGAGATGATGAGTGATCTCTTCCTGGAAAACCTCATCGCATCCACTCTTATTTATATCTTAAAGCTGTCAGCTTTGACACCCCAGTTTGTTGTAATGAAATGACCCAATACGAGTAAGATGGTTTCTTCTTTCTTCTTTGTATTGTCTCCTTTCAAGTATCAATCTATTTAGACTCCCAAAAATCTGGCCAGCTGAAACTGGCACAATCCTTTTCTTACTGGGCCTGTTTTCAGGGAAAAAGTTGGGATTCACCACTGCTGTGTCACTTGCAGTGTTTGACACATAGGCAGACCCCCCCCTCCTTTGCCCATGCTTCTGCTGGCCAAACACCAAGGGTGGCTGGTCCCAAGCCTCTGTGGCTGGGAAGAAGTTGAGAAGTGTGATCACAGTGCAGGGTGGAGGGGTGCATGTGTGTGCGCTCCTGTGTCAGTCAGCAGGCAGGTTTTCCTGCTCTCCTCATTTGGCATGAGTTGGGCAGTCCCAGCTGAACATATGGAGTTAGAATCGTGTGACGAAATAGTTGGATTTCAAGAGCAATTGTATTATGTTTTGTCAAGAACCATAGGCCTTGAGTAGTACTCTTCAGCTAAGCTTTGGAAGATATATTTTTCGTTGCCCATAACAAAACTGCCTCAGTTTGTACACTGTCAAAGCATCTTTTGCTTTAACCGCATGCCTTATTTTTATCATACTCTAATCTTTCCTCATAATGTTGCTTTCTTTGAGTTTGTTTGATGTAGACAGGAACACCCACACAGAACCCCAGCCCTTTTTTTTCTGTAATTGATTCTGTAATCTTTAATGAGAATATCTCTTGTTGAATCTTTCAAACCCATTTCTGAAATACATTAACTTCTTCACCAGTTTGGCATTGCATTTTCCTCCATTTCTTTCAAAAATGTTTTGAGGAGGAAAGGGAACAATTTCCCCCTCTCAGGGAGACAATCCACTCATTGCTTTGGGGAATAGTTTGGAATAAATAGAGAGAGTTTGCACATAGAATTTAACAAGCTAAATAATAGTCCCAAGACTGTTTCTTTCAGTTTTGTCCAGCACCAAGGTTATGATGAATCTTGTGAAATCTCTAGAGTAGTCGCTATTCTCATAGTTCTTGCTCACACTTCATTTTTGGTCAGTTTCTGGCTTTTTTGTCTTCTGTTTTTCAAATACCAAAGGAAGTGTGGTAGGTGGCCCAATGGAGATATACTTAGAGACAAATCCCTCAGCTGGAGAAATCAGCCTGATGCGAAATAGCATTGATAAAACTGGGGCTTCTTTGTCCTGGGGTTGGTGAGACCTGTCGATATTGGAGGTGCAGTTGTGATCCTCCTCACTGAGGAGGAGGAAGGAAATGCTGTTACCAGATCAAAGAGAAGGATTGTTTTTAAGTGCTGTTTGCAATCACTCGTTATGCAAAGTGGCTGGCTTCTAGCTGAGAACGATTGAGCACTGGTTATCCTGATGCCCTCAGAGAAAGATGTGATTTTGCTGAATCTTGGAAAGGTGCTGTCTTCTGACCATCAGAATCAATGCTGTGTATCTGCTGGAAAATGTATAGGAAACATATACAGGGCATCTACAGGTTTACTGAGGACTTGGGCTGTTTGTTGTGGCATCACTTTGCAGACACAAGATCCAGCCCCTTGGTGAACAGGGCCGGAGGACATTTTCGGCATTTTTGGCATGTAGAGTGACCGTATGCAACTAGCATTAGTGAAAATGCTCACCAAAATGCTGAGTCCTGTTCTTTGGGTCCAGAAAAATGACACCCAGGAAATAAAGTCTACTTGGGCATAGTTTGGTGGGTGGCTTGGGAGAAGAACATGGATTGTTTTCTGCCTCTGAAGGTGTTTTGTTTGGTGTTGATGGAGAAAATTGAATTATATTCTAACAAAGTAGCAGCAATAGCTGAGGGCTTTGTGTTGGG